TTTAAAACCACTTCCCCCTGTCCTATCACTATCTGCCCATGTCGAAAGTCGCTCTCCCTCCCGTTTAGAAGCTCCCTTCAGATACTGGAAGGCCACAGTGAGGTGTCCCTGGGCTTTCTCTTCTCCAAGCTCAACAAGCCCAGCTTCCTCAACCTTTCTTCAGAAGAGAGGTGCTCCAGCCCTCAGATCATCTTCCTGGCTCTCCTCTGGACCCGCTCCAACAGTTCCACATCCTTCTTGTGTTGGGGGCTCCAGGCCTGGATGCAAAACTCCAGATGGGGCCTCACAAGGGAACAGAGAGGGACAATCCCCTCCATTGCCCTGCTGGCCACCCCTCTTTTGATGGACCCCAGCATACAGTTGGCCTTCTGGGCTGTGATTGCAGGTTGCTGGCTCATGTCGAGCTTCTTTGTCCACCAGGACACCCAAGTCCTTCTCAGCAAGGCTGCTCTCCTTGAGTTCTTCTCCCAGTCTGTACACATACCTGGGATTGCCCCAACCCAGGTGCACAATGTTGTTCAGCTCTATCTCAAATGCATTCCCACAGCACAGAGGTTTCTGCATGCTGACCTTTGCTGGGGGAATTAGCTTTGCAGGCTGGAGAAGGTTTTGTTTGGTTTTTTTTTCCCCAAAGGGAAATGAGTTGCCAAAGTAACCTGGACAAAGACTGGTGTTTTAGATGGGATATTGCAGCTTCGTATTTATTTGCTACTTTAGAGGACTTTTATATTCTTTTGAAGCACAGCAAGAATGCATAATACGTTGTGATTATTTATCAGAGCTGTAAGAAGAGGGCCTGGTTCTGGGGAACATGTCAAAACCCAGCTGTGCAGAGCCCTTACCTGAAAGACAACAGAGGAGTTTCTGGAGAAGATCCCTGCCATGTGGCATCTGTTTAGCAGGAGCTCTGTTCCCTGTCCAGGCTCTTGTGGTCTGCCAGGAGGAACTGGGACAAATACTGCTGAAATCGCTAATGTCGCTGTTTGGACTTGGCAGTAGAGAGCCTCCGAGATGGTTCCCGGATGCTGGCACCATGTGCCTGGGCTGTTTAACTCATGGCTTGAGCAGGGAGCTAGCACAGGCCAGGGAAGGTTTCCAGCGGGGCGGGATGTGAGAGGTCCTGTTGCGCTGGCATCCTTTCTTCTGGGGCAGTCTTCCAGCCTACCCTGCGTCCTTTCTTAATCCCCTCCCTTCCTTCCTTGTCGCAGGCTTTGCCAAGCACTGGTGCCACACCATGAAATCTTCTGGTTCTGGGGGCTGCAGAAGCTGGGGAGAAGCTGTGGAAGAGGGGGAAGATGGAGGAGGATGGAGATGACAGCCTGCAAGAGACTTGCGGAGCTGGAGGAGTCCTGCCAGTGCCCGGGTTAACACAAAACCTTTGAGTGGCACGAAAAGCTGGGATGAAAGCCAGCACCCTGCCACAGCCTGGGGCTGCTGCTCTGCCAGGCTGCTCTGGAGGTTTGGCACAGAGCCCTGCAGACCCGAGAGCCCTGGGCCCCAGGGGAGCAGCCTGGCCCAAAGGACGGCAGAGTGAGCCTGGGCAGGGTCCTTTGCACACAGTGGCTTTTGGAGCCCACCAGCTGGCCAGCACACTCGGACAGATCTGCACCATGTCTAGAGTCCTGGGGTGAGGTGGGAGCCACCAGTTCCTCAGCTGGGACATACTTAGGGTAAGCAAGAAGAAATTACCTCGAAGTACAGCTCTTGCAACCGCTGCACTCTGGTTTTCTCTGGACAGTGTTGAACGAGGTTATTTTTCCGTAGAGAACGTGTATGTGTGCTGCAGAAGCCCGTTCAAGGCAGTAGCATACCACCAGCACTCTCCATGCCAAACCATTACTTGGTCTTGGTGACAAACCAGTGGTAGAACACACAGGAGCCCTACGGTGCCGTAACTTACATGGAGGCAGCTTTGCCAAGGGAAGGTGATAGCGGAGGTCAGGGGGTCTTTTTTGACTCAACACTTAGGGGAGCTACGGAGGTCTGTGGAGAGGAGTAGATCCTCCTTGGAAAGATCTAGGTGCAGGGGCGAGGTGAGAGCAGCTGGACCCCCTCAGTACCTTCTCAGAGCAGGCATTGGACTGGAGAGGGAAAGGGAGCTTCTTCAAACCCCATCGTGCTCAGCTCTCCTATCCTCCTGGGGCATGCGTGTCCTCTGACTTCCTCTATCAGCCAGCTTTACCACCACTACCCCTAGTGTCAGATGCCTTATTTCTCCTCCTTTCCTCTCCCCAGCTTTAATGTGTTGATTGGTGTTTCTTTCTGCCCCCGACATTTCTCTGTTCCCCAGCATATTTGTGTTAAAATTTGTGAGGATTTTTCTTGGGGGCATTTCAAGGTTTATTTCTGATAGGATTTGAGATGGAATCCGACTTGTGATCCTCTTGTGATTAAGGCTGGCGTAGGTGTGGAGGTCGTGGTGGGGTGAGAGAGACCATCCAGGAACCTGAGTTAGGAGAGCACTCTGCATTAGGTCATTGTTTCAGGGAAGGGGACAGAAAGCAGCCTCTGAAATCAGTCTTCTCCATGACGTACAGAGGAATAGAGTGGAGAGACATCACAGAAATAATACCAACTAGAGAAATAAGGGGATGAAGCAGATACCTATGAGTGGCCTGGTGGGTTTTCAGGTGAGAGACTGTGACTGCGGACCATGCATCCTCCTGTAGAAGGCATCTGCGAAGAGTGGACTCGATATCCTTGGTGAACTTTCTCTAGTGGTTCACCAAGGCTTCTGAGATGTAGTAAGCTTCATGGCTTACTTATTGAGTCTTTCAGGGGACACTGAACAGGGACATGAATTGTGTCTCTGCACATTTTGGGAGGCCACATGGAAATGTTGCCACAATGGACTGGTCATGACAAGGAGTTTGGGCTCGGCACCTGTAGACTTGATCAGCTGAAATGGTCACGCACAGGTCTGTAAGTGCTGGGATGACACCAGCCCTCCTCGCCACCGGGATAGGCTCATGAATGACACTTTCTCCCACTCTTTGTCCTCTGTGTGTAAATAGACTCTAAACACAGGCATCCTTGGTGCTCTTTGAGAAGATAATGTGCCAGTAGTGGTGGTGGGAATAGACCTTGATGCAGACCAGTGTTATGTAGACTTTACAGGTTTAATGGCAGTTGTTGCAAGGACTTCTCAGCATGACTGTCTACGCTCTCAAACGTGCATCCTGCTGGAAAACACTCTGCCAGTGCTGCTGGGCCCATGCCCAGGAGCGCCTGCATCACAGCACCACGCATGGAGGTTTGATTTATAGCACTGGTTCCTAGAGTCTCGACTTGGCACAGCAGGAAGTATTGGTTCCCAGGCAGAGAGTGTGTGCTGGTGGAGTGAGTGTGTGATGAAGCCGTGCTGGTTGCAAGTTCTGAGAAGCAGCATTAGTCATGACAGCAAGGTCAATCACACTAGCGTTTTTCTTTGAAGCATGTTAATTGCAGTCTCATGGAGGTGGCTGTGGTGTGGGCAAGGTATGCAGAATTGCACAGTCCCACCAACTCGAGCTGGAGGCACCAGGGTGAGGGTCTCCAACCTAACACTGCTCCCAGCAGCTCCAGCGCCACAGCTGCAGCAAGTTGTTTGGAACCATGTCTGGGTGAAGCCCTCGTAATGAAGACCTCCTTTAGTGGACCATGTTAGTGACCCTGCAGAGGACTTTATCCCATCTGTTGTTGTCTCCTTTGTACTGGAGGGCACGACAGACTGCACAGTGTGTCCAGATGTGGCCTCGCTCGAGGGGAATAATGCCTTCCCTTGACCTGCTGGTTACTCTCATGGTGGGCTGGTTGGCTTTCATTGCTGTGCCTTCTGGCCAGCTTGGTGTGCACGAGTCTGCAGATGCCTCTTGCGTGGAGAGCTGCATCCTCCAGCCCATCACAGCCTGGCCTGTGTGCAGGGCTGGTCTGTCTTGGGGCAGGACTTCTGCTAAAGTCCTTCTGAAGATATCACTCAACACCTGGCCGGATGCCTGTGGGAGTTGCCACAGTGGATGTAGCCACCAGCTGCTCCTTTCTTCATACAAGATGTTCATCATGTTGGCTGAATTTTGCATAAAATGAAGCACCTTGATTTTTGTTCTTTTGCTTCTCGATATCAAATCTCCAAACAAGGCCAACAGAGCATGCAGTTTGACATGATAGTGGGAGATGGCTGTGATTTTGCCTTTCCATGTCCTGCTCCAGTTCACAGAAGCATTGACCGTCCATTGGGTAAGAGGAGGAGAAACATGGTACCTAACGCAACAATTAGTCAAAATGTTGTATTTCTCTTTGACATGAAATAAAATAGTGCACAGTGGGGCTAAAGCTGCTTTGTGCAGGTTCTTATGAAGATTACAAAATTGAGGCAAAAAGCAGATCTTACTGTAATTAGAAGATAGAAGAGTTAATTATAGGGAGGAATGGATTCATATTTGCTCTGAATTTTTCTGTACAGTTTTAAAATAACTTCAGCTGAAGGAGCTGAACTTTACTACAAATATGTACTGAAGTGCGGAGTTTTCTTCAACTATTTGAATTGCAACACAGAAGTTGCAGGGCTATTTTCCTCAGAGATTCAAGAGTCCCTGTGTTCATTTTGTTGATATGTGAAGTCATTTTGTTTTTTGCAGAGTCATGCACTTATTTACTTGATGTGCTGGAGGCAACCTAAACTTATTTCCATTCATTCAACTTTTGAGAAAAGCTTTGGAAATAATTCACTGATCATTGAAGTTTCAAGTCAGAGGCAACTAGCAGAGAATTAGGAGATAAACCACCAACAGACTGGGGAGGGTTGCGTGTGAAGGACGTACTCTACATAATGAGCCATTAAAACTTCATGAAGAGGTGTCCCAGAAAAAATATTACAAAGCACTAGGCTTAATATTAAATTCTTAGTTTTAGCAGCCTGGTCATTTTCAAGAAGGAATAATCAGCTTAACTACAACATTCACACATTTAATGTTCTGGGAGAAGAGGGATTGTCTGATTTTTCTTCTTCTTTTTTTCCACAGTAATTAATGAAAGTCAAAAGCAGCAACTGGAATCTGTGAGCTACTCCTCCCGTTACGCTCTGGGACTTTTTTATGAAGCCGGTACACAGATTGATGTTCCCTGGGCTGCACAGTACATCACTGATAATCCCTGCATACGCTTCATCTCCATCGATAATAAGAAACGCAATATAGGTCAGTGCTCCCATTATTTCCCTTAAACACAGTGACAATAGAGGGTGTAGATCGTGAAAAATGCTGTTTAATTGAGTGTTGCTATTCTGAACAGAGCAAGTATTTAACTCCGAGCCGCAGCGGATAGCATTTAATGTCACATTTGGCCTGTAATAAAATACACAATGAAAGAGGGAAGGTCTTCAGAAAATCACCACCCAGCACATGGTTTACGTTACTGCATTTATGAAACCAGCGTCAGGGGATTTGAGACATCAAAATGTTGCTATTCCAAGAAAGAGCTGGAGTTCTTTGTTTAAACATTGATTCATACACATGCCAATTTATCTCCCATCATCCATTTACTTTACAACTCCTGTTCTTTCCACTAAACATGCTTGGAAGTAGTAATGAGTTATATAATTGAGGCTGTTCAGCCTAATTCAGAGTTAGACAGCGTGTTTTTATAATCATGGAAAATCCTTGAAATGGCTGTGCAGAGTATGGCTGCTCAGTAAAGCTTGGAGAACATCCCACAAGGCAGACACTTCTCATCTGTTTCTGGAAGGTGGCCGTCGAGTAAGTATATGTTTTATTTATTGAATGTATTTCATATACCAAGAGTGTGTTGGCATAGAATAGCTCAAGAGTAACCGCTAGCATTTGAGTTTAATCAAGTTTGTTAGGAGCTGAAAATGCTTCCCGATTTTGTTACTTACTCACATTGCAAAGATGACCAGGTTTAACCACATCTGTGAAGTGGGGGTAAAAACTTACCCACCTTTGTGGTGACCTACAAAGCACTGTGACTCAGTGTCACAGAATAAAGAAGGAGTTTAATCATCAGCTGCTGCCTAATACGTCATCTTAAAATGTCGCCAAATTCATTGTACCGAAGCATGTTCAGATTTAGACCTGGGAGACTTGTTTCTACTCTTGGTTTGTGGGGATGCATTGTTTCCTGCCTGCAGTCTGCAGACCTGTTGTGCCTTGTCTAGCTGAGGTTTTGAAAAAAAAGAATAAAATGGCAATCCCCCACATGACTGGTAACCTTTCCCAGAGCTGTACCTCCATTGAGGGAAGAAGTATTTTTTCATCTGCAGTGTGAACTTCCCAAGGCTCAGCCTGTGGATGTTGCCTCCTGTTCCATTGTCTGCCTCTACTGATTAGAGTCACAGTCATTCAGGTTGGAAGGGACCACTGGAAGTCACCAGGCCCTACCCCCACACAAGGTTTGAAGTTAGATCCAGCTGCAAAGTTACATCATCTTGCTCAAGGCCCTGTCCTGCTCCACTTTGAGTATCTCCGAGGATGGAGATACAGTGAGTCTGCATCATTGCTGCAAAGGTGCACTGATGATTTCTTGTCCTCATGGACAGCAGGTCCTTGTCTGCAGAGCTTCTTTCTGTCCTGTTGGCCTCAGTGTGTAGTGTGGCATGGGGCAGCTCCCTCTCAGTGGCAAAACTTCACATTTTCCTTTGTTGAACTTCATTGCAATTGGCTTCATCATCTTCATAACTATCATCAGTGGCAAGCTGCTGTTAGGTGCCCTACTCCCTTAGCATCTCCTGGACCAGGTCCAACAGCTCCTTCCATCTCTCCCTCTAGGTTGTGTGCTCCAGCCCCTGGCAGCTCTGCAAGTGATTGTTTCCAGTGCTCTACACCCCTCTTGAAGTGGGAGCAAGGGGTAAAACTGGATGCAGTGCTGCAGTTGCAGCCTCATGGATGTCAAGTAGAAGGGGTTGATAAGCAGCCAAGATCTGCTGGCCGTGCTCATCGTGATGTGATTTGCCACCTTTGCACTGCTGACTTATATTCAGTGGTTGATTAACCATAACCATCAGGATCTTTTCAGAAAGGTCTGTTGCTCAGCCAGACTGGTGCATCCTGGGTCCTCCTTGTTGTGGTGATAGTGCAGTTCAAGTTAGCTCTTCCAAATATGACCCTCTTTGCACCACAGCCAGAGGTGCAAAGCTATGGCTCCTGAAGTGCCTCCAGAAACAGCAGTTTATGCTGGGAGCAAAGAAGTTGGAGAGATTAGTCAACTCACCATTTTGGAAGCCAAATTTTGTTATTTCTCCTAAGAACTCAGCCTGTTGGTCTGAAAAAGAGGGAAAATTAAAAAAAAAAAGAAGACTGAACTGGCCTAAACAAAGATGCATCCACCCTGATATGCTACCTCTAGCAGGGGCCAGTAGTGAATATGTATAAAAAGTGTAAGGAAAGCCAAATACAGAGTGATTTTTTTTTTTCTCTGGCATTGCCTCCTTGTTAATGACAATGTGCAGCTGGAGATTTTTTTGCATCTAAGATAATATCGCCATCTTTGTGCTTAACAGTAAGTACTCAGTAGTTAAGAGCACCTCCTGGTATTGTCCATCCCAGCTACCTAATTCTAGCTGTGCAGAAGAGGAAGCAGCCCAAGGAAGAAATTCACCCATCCTTTCCTCCCCTGCTTGAATATGTGGTCTCAAAGCGTTCCAGAAGTGAGAACAACGAATATAGAATTATAGTGAAATTAGCAAATAGCCAAGTACAGCATCTTTGCTGTCTTCATATGCCATCTAACCAAATAGAAAGCTTATTATTTGTGGCATATTGTTAAGAAATACATAGAAACTGCCAGAACATTGCTGTTGACACGTAACCTTTTTCATTGAAATTTCCCTCATATCATGGGAGAGTTCTGTTTATATGAGCAAATTTTTTCCAAGAAGAACAAATTGTGTACCTTCACAGGGCTGGAACAAGCTGGGGGCCAGCAATTGAAGATTATTTCTCTCTGGTAAGGCCCTCCTTGTGACATATAAACAGTCAACCAGCTGCCTTGACTGTGCTGCCTCTCCTTGTGAACTTGCATTTTGCAGATTTGCATTTTGTTCCAGAAGAAGTAGTACAAGGGAGAGAGCAGTACGTGTGAGCTAAGCAGTGTTGCTGGCTGCGAGTGCTCAGGCTGAGCGCAGGAGGATTGGAAAGCGTGTCTGTACCCTGTTCAGTCATGCTGATGTACGGAAGTATAAAAACCAAATGTGGTCACTAAGTGATTCACTTTTCTTCAAACACACGCACAGCTCTACTGATAATAGAAACACATGTGCACATATATACTTTAAGACAACATAGAATCATAGAATCAGAGTGTTGTGAGTTGGAAGGGACCCACAAGGATCATCCAGTCCAACTCCTGGCCCTGCACAGGACAATCCCAACATTCAGACCACGTGTCTGAGGGCCTTGGCCAAATGCTTCTGGAATCTTGTCAGGCTTGGAGCCATGACCATCTCCCTGGGGAGCCTGTTCCAGTGCTCCACCACCCTCTGCCTGAAGAACCTTTTCCTCATGGCCAACCTCACCCTCCCCTGCCACATCTTCCTGCCATTTCCTCTGCTCCTGGCGTTGGTGGCCAGAGAGAAGAGATCAGCACCTACCCTTCCTCTTCCCCTTAGGAGGAAGTTCTGGACCATGATGAGATCTCCTCTCAGTCTTCTCCAGGCTGAACAAACCAAGCGACTTCAGCCTCTCCTCATATGGCTTCCCCTCTAAACCCTTCCCCAATTTAGTGGCCTGAGGGAGGCTGAATGTGCAATTTATTTCTGCATGTGTAGTACTGCAGCCAAAACACTTCAATAGAAAGTTCCTTTATGTTTGTTTTAGCACATATGCAAGTATTTTGCATTTGTATTTTTCTTGCCATGCTTCTGATTGACTTCCAGAATATTTCAATGGGAGGCACAGCAGCACCTCGCTGTCCTGCATTCGCTGTCTGTTTTTTTGGGATGCCGTTGCTGTAATACCTACCATGCTACACTCACTCATCATTCCTCCCGTTCATCAACCTTGATGAATCGGGATTCATCTGGGATGGTGACAATGAAAAAGTAAGCAATCAGAGAGAAAGCAGAAATACTCAGGCTAAGATTTACATTGGGTCTCCTGGGTGAATCAACCGAGATCTTTCAGGACTATTGTCCTTCCCAAAAAGCTGTCACCTTCTCCAGTTGATGCCTGAGTGGCTTCACTGTTCCTCCTTCCACTGTTCCTCCTTTATGCCATATACACTGTCCCTGCATATTCAGTGGTGTGTTATTCTCAAGCTCCTGCATGCATCCCTCCCTCCATTGCATTAATCTTAAGATAGAAAGTGGCTTTGCTGCCCATTAAAAGTGGCTGCAGTGCTCACCAGGAGTACATCCTGAACAGACAGAGCACACCTTCAGTTCTTTAGGCATGAGTAAAAATGACTGATGGATCAGACACAAACAAAAACTTGATTTGTTTGATGTTTCTACACCTACTTTAATGTATCCACAATTAACAGAGGTTTATCTAACCCTCATTACCACCTCACATGGTCATGTTTTAGTAAAGAGCATTGAATGATAGATCCAAATGAAATAACTCCAGCTCTCTGCTAAAGGACTCTTTGTTAAACACGTCATTACACAAAAAATGACTACATCTATATATTGTCTACTTAAAAGCAAATAGTCGAGCTCTCAAAGGCCAAAAGGCAAAGTCTAGTCCTCACTATGAAAGTCCAAACTGTCCTTTTCATTGGTATGAGGTGTGGTCATCCCACTTTGACTCATTTAGTAAGGCAGAGTTGTAAAACTCTTTCTTACGCAAATTTCAAATTTTACCAGTGAAATACCTGAAACAGCCTTGTTGTTATAATTACAGGATGGGTTTGTTAGCAGAGCCCGTGAGTTGCAGTGTAATTCTCCAGAAATCTCAGCCTTTGCTTGCTCTCAGAGCCACATGCTTCCCTAAGGACTGCTCGCACCTTGCTGTGTTGCGATCAGCTGCAGCGCTCCACTTCACTGCTTTTTGCAAAGTCATAAAGCCTTTTCTTCATAGAATGAATCACAGACTGGTTTGGGTTGGAAGGGACCTTAAAGCTCATCCAGTTCCAACTCCCCTGCCATCAGCAGGGACACCTTCCACTAGACCAGGTTGCTCAAAGCCTCATCCAGTCTGGCCTTAAACACTTAGAGGGAGGAGCAGCCACAGCTTCTCTGGGC